TTTTTTACATTTAATTAGAATATCGATTAACAGTAATTAAAATTTTATATTCTAATTTAAATATTTTTATTTTAGTAATTTCGTTCTTCGATAAAAAATTGTTATTTTCTTTGTATTACGAAAATGATTCAATCATTCAAAGATGATTGACTAATCATCTACCTTTGTATAATATCATTATTACGTTACCTTGTCATAAACATTGACAATAGCTCTGTCAGCGAATTTGGGAAAATCCTTGATCAGCACATCCTTAATCAGTTCCAAATCTTTTATGATCAGATGTGGTGTTCTTCCCATGAACGTCCCGACCATAGGTTCGTCCCTATACTGGTTGTAAATAGATCTCGTATACTCGGCCATAGGTATCTTAGCAAACATGATATTTCTGGCGGTACCAAAGATTGGCACCGGTTTTGGCCCGACCACGCCACGATTTTTCCAAAAATCGAAAGTGGCAGTCAAGTAGTAGTAGACGACGAAGAGTACAGCAGCGATGCCGCACAGAATCTCGAAATAAATCGTCATTGCAGCTTCTTATTACAGCTTCTTATTATTGAGACAGCGATGCGTATCACTTTTCTCATCTAAACAAAGTTTACAGTGGAACTTATTCGTATTTGTAACACAACACAATTAACACGATACAATTTATAATATTAACAATATCCAAGATAAATTACTCTGTAAGGAAAAATTAGCTGAATTTACCTGTATACTAGTTCCTCGGTAAGCTAGGACGTGTAGGAGGTACAGAGGAGAGTGAACTGATCACATCTCTCTAAGGCGCGTTAGGTTTATACATACATCTTGGAAGCATTACTCATCATGACTTGCAGTGCTTGTACCTGTACTATTAACATTCATACTTTTCTGTTGGGAAGTCAAATAACACTATATATATCTTGTCGTCATTAGGTATACATGAGAAAGTATGTCAAACTAATAAAAGGGATTTCAAATCTCGATGAAGCTCTCCAGTCGTAGATAAAAAATGAATCAGCAATAAATTATTTAATGATGTTTTGATAAGACGCTCTTTGACAATATCGCTATTAACACTTGACAACCGATTAGATCGATATTCATCTAGGATTTGGCGGATCTCAATGATTTTCATGACCTTGCAATATTTTATTAGTTACTTACGAGGCAACCAATTCAAACAGACCTTTATCTAATCACAAGCAGTAAATGTAGGTTCATAGCAATGTGCGTGATTACTTATCTCGTGAAGCATAACAAAACGGTAGACTACAAGTGACATAAATAAATCACTAACATATTACTACTTAAAATAATGGTATTTACAAATTTCATTAAAGACCTTTACAAATATTATTTTTTTTACAAAGTTTACGATAACAAATTGGAGCATGTGTATAGTAAATTGTATCATAAGAATATATTTTCTAATATAATAACGAGATGTACGTAATAATATAGAAATATTATAAAAAATGTTACACTTTCGCGATACGCAAGTGTACTCCGCCCTTCAGTTGCAGCAAAAAGCTTTTCGGCTCACTTTTATACGGTATCGTGGTATTTTCACAAACTTCCACTTTGTGCTTGCGGAGAATCATTGCGAGACCGAGTTTGCTTTGAAATTGCGCGAAACGTGCACCTGAAAACAAATCAAGATTAGAAAAAAAATAGTTTCTTTACAAAATACGTTTTAATAAAATTGACGATTAATGAAGTATTTTAAATATATCCAACGTGTGATCAAACAAATTACTATATTCTTTATCACAGAGAAACTAATGAGAAACAGTTATGGAGTTCATTTACATATTTTTATTACAATAACAATGAGAGTTTGGGAACGTACCGATACAATTTCTTGGTCCATCGCCGAATGGTAAGTAGCTCATTGGATGTCTCGCGGCAACAGCATCCTCGTTGAATCGTTCAGGGTCGAATTTATCTGGGTCTGGATAGATAGCCGGATCCCTATGGATTCCCATAACCGGTATCATAACCATTTGGTTTTCAGGTATAGTGATTTTGGTTCCCTTGAATGTGTAATTCTCCATCGCTTTTCTGTTTAATACACCCAATACTGGGTATTTTCTCAGTGTCTCTGCAAAATGAAAAGTTCCATTAGATACTTATTTAATGAAAAACGAATTTAGAGAATCAAGCTACATTCTATTTTGCAAATACAACAATTTTCTAAATTTATATTATTTCTTTCTATCGCACAATTATTAACGTTAAAAATGATGATTTTAATTATGGATCTACCTTTGAACACCTTGTCGAGGTACTTCAGTTCTTTCAATTGGTCGTAAGACGAAATTCCATTGTTCTTCGCAAAGTTCTCCGTGATTTCTTCTCTCAGTTTGTTTTGCATATCCTGATTTTGAGCTAATTCGTATAGAGCATGAGACATCGTCGTAGACGAAGTTTCAAACCCAGCAACGAAAAACACAAATGCTTGCGCTGCGAGCAACGCGTCTGTAATTTCTGTAATCACAAATAAAAGTTACTTCATATAATAATTATTAATAAGCCACGCTTCAATTGTCATTTGTAAATCTTCAGACTAACCGATATTATCCATTTTCTCTGGGTGCTCTTTAACTTCCATTAACATGTTAACGAAATCTGGCCTCGAGACATTATGTTCCTTCCTATACTTCATCGTCTCACTGATTAAATTAACGAAAAACGAGTCCACTTCTTTGTTCTGCAGATAGGGACCGAATATCTCATAAAGGCTGGGCCACATTCGTTTGAGGGTGTCCCTAATATAGAATCTAAATGTAGGCTTGAACATCTTCCTTCCCATTTGCCGGAACTCGCTGTTATCATCGTTCAAAGCGTTCATGGTAATTCCAAAAGCGCAGGAGCCGATCACGTCCGTGGTGTATTTCGCGGTCAGGTCGCGCACCTCCACATCCTTCCCGCTCTCCGCGACATAGTCCAAGTATTTCTCCAAGTTCTGTGCGCATTCCTCCAGAAGTGGGAACATCTCTCGCAATTTACCGGAAGTGAAAATCGGGGAGAGGCGGTTGCGCATTAGTCGCCATCGTTTTGGTTCCAACAAGAACAGATGCTCTCCCAGTACTTCTATCTACAAGCAACAATATGAAATGATATTCATTATGATATAAGATATAGAAAATAATATGGGATATAATATTTTTAATGTGATAGGAACAATGATATAAATATAATAATGGTATTTATGTGATATACAAATGATATTCAAATTTTCTTCTACGTGACGAAATACGAATTCAATTATTCTTTATATAAAGAAATCATTTGTTGATGAAATGTCGCACCTCTGGGAAAATCTTGAATCCTCTGTCAGCAAACAATGAGAAATCTCTGATAAGAACATCTTTTATCAAATCCAAATCGTTGATGATCAAAACAGGGCTATTTCCTTCAAATACACCGAAAACAGTTTCGTTTTTGTACTGTTTGTACCACTCGTTGATCTGATCGGAAAACGAGATTTTTCTTAGAGCAAGATTCAGAGTATTGCCGACGAAGGCGATCGGTTTCGGTCCGCTTATGCCCCGATTCTTCCAAAAGTTGAAGGTTGACGAGTAATAATAGAGAAGTCCTATTAGGACCGCAGCCAGGCCCAGTAGAATTTGAAGATACTCCATAATCGACAATACAGATGGTCTGAAAAATGTTCAAGTGCGAGCTACAATAATTAATTACAAAGTGGTGATGGGATAAATAAGCATGGTACAAATGTAATTCATTGCATAGTAATAAATTGGGTTAATATGACAATTGATTAAAATGATTCATTGACTTCCAATGAGAATTCTATACATTGATCATGACTCCGTAAAATTTCGAATGATCTTGTTTTGAAATTAGTGTCATGATGATAACGCAGTATTGTTCTGTTATTAATATAGGTGTTGTCAGGAAAAGGTATAGATAATACAAAATGACAGAAGAGTGTACCAAATGTGAATGACGATTCAAAGGACGGAGTGTGGATTATTTACATTGCAATTACATCTTCTGTGAGACATTATAACGTAATGGAACTGACGCATTTAAGTGGCATACACTCAAACTGTAATTACAGTTATCTTCGATAATTTACTTACTCCGATTACTTTCGTTCTTCACAAAACAGTATTGTTCAAGTCCCAGAGTGTAACAGGAGATGAGATATCTCGCAGACTGACAGGACGACACCCGTCAGCCGACCAACTCGGCACTGAGTTTCATCAGCTTCTTCATAATGTGTGCGCGCCACGAATGTGATACGTACCAATGCGATATTACTCCGTAATGATTAGGATTTTACTGTGTATTTATAAATTGATAAAAGATAGTAGATTAGATATAAAGCAAAGAGAGATCAGTTAGTATTATCTGAGGTAAATTATCGAAGATTGGCAATTGAAAAAGAGATAGGAATATCTTATGTAATATTTCTTTATTATGATACAAAATTAAGTATAATGTACATTTTGATTTAGTGCGGCATGTAATAACTTACATAATTAACAGAGTGCAATTCGGGTGCGAGTTATATAATCTACATTTAACTTAGATAAATTCACATTTAATCGCAATTCAATTGAATTCAGCAGAAATTTATTATAAATAATATGATTCAACTTAAAGTACTTAGATCTAAAAAAAACATGTTTACATTATGCATCGTTCTTTCCAAAGACTGAATTCACACTATACAAGAGTTGGTCTTGTATAAATCATGTAATGTACATATTCAAAAACGCTGACATTTACATGATTATCATATGCTTTATTAGATTATACAGACGAATCATTTACAAAAGCAAATTTATATAAAGGAGCATATACACAATACATTCAGTAAGAAGAATACGTTTCCTAATACAGTGACAAGGTGTAGGTAATAATACAGAAATATTATGAAATCCGTTACACTTTCGCGATACGCAAGTGTACTCCGCCCTTCAGTTGCAGCAAAAAGCTTTTCGGCTCACTTTTATACGGTATCGTGGTATTTTCACAAACTTCCACTTTGTGCTTGTGGAGAATCATTGCGAGACCGAGTTTGCTTTGAAATTGCGCGAAACGTGCACCTGAAAACAAATCAAGATTAGAAAAAAAAT